GACACATTCACTGGTTATAAAGACGGATATGACGCTTTTAAACATGTGGATGTCCTTCATTAGATCAAGTGTCTGTATCTGTGCATCTCAAACACTGCAGCATAATTTCTTTTCATTAGATCTATTGTTTAATCAATTCAAAGATTACTTTTACATCAAACATGTTTGCTTGAAAAGTATGCTTGTATTTCTTTATATAACCTTCTAAATGCATTGACACAGACTGCTGGTCCAAGGTTTGGAATAATTAAAATATTTTGAAACAAGTCTCTTCTGCTCACCAAGGCTGCATTTATTTCATTTAAAAAAATACAGTAAAAACAGGAGTACTGTGAAATATCATTACAATTTAAAATGTCTGTTGTCTATGTGAATATATAGTCAAATGTAATTTATTTCTGTGATCAAAGCTGAATTTTCTGCATCAATACTCAAGTCTTCGGTGTCACATGATACTTCAGAAATCATTCTAATATGCTGATTTTTATCAAGGTTTTACTGTATTATTGATCAAATAAATGCAGTCTAGTTGAGCATTAAATATCTTAATTCCAAATGTTTGACTGACACTGTACAAAACAAAAGTGACATTTTTTTATCTAATGCAATGACATACAGACATTTTAAGTACAACTTGAGTGGCCAAATATATTTTGCACACTGTATGAATAATCGCCATAAAATATATCAAGATGTGATCTAGTAATTGACATTAATCAAATATCAAAACTAGGGTTTCTTCATTAGAATGCTGAAAGTACCTCCTGACGGGTATTTTTCCATTCACATTGGTCAAAAATGACAACCGCATCCAACTGCAGAAAATAAATCAAAACACAAGCAAAGAAGAAACACTGAATATGTAAGCAAAAAGACATTGCATTATTAAATATTCTAGGTTAAGGTTAATAAACAAGTTCTTCCACCTTCAAAAAAAAAATTTTTTTACAGCTTAAATAACACACAATTCCCTGAGGAATTAATGTAAGTGCATTGAAATCATTTGTAATGTCTTGCCTCACAGACTTTCATTAGATGTGCATTACAGTGAACAAGAATTTTGCTTATTTTTACAAGTTTTGATAGAAAAGTATTTATCTGTGGCAACTGACAGCACATCATCAATGTTGCTGATTGAGCTTAGTAACTTGTTTCGAATATTAATTGAAAGAAAATGTGATTTTCTAGGTGATTAGCTTGCATCAGTAACAAGTCAGAAACACGGCTGCTGGTCAAATCATTTCCTTGAATACTTCATGAAACCTTAAAAGTGACTCAGTGACTCGACACACAGCACATCAGCAGGCTGAAATCGCTCCAGTGATTTATAGCTGTGGTGGCACTCACTGTTTTCTCAGGCAGGTCATCGGACACACGTTATTCGCTCGAGAGTTCTGAATCAATGACCGCAAGCCGTCCATCCATTGCTGCAGAAACACACAAGCAAATATGAGGATAAAACTTCAAATGTCAGTGAGTTTCCAGTCTCTTTGTGGCCAACATGACTGATGAAACAAAAAAAATGCTAACATGCTGATAGATTTTTCTTAGAAAGGCAAATCAATAGCACTTTTTAGTTCATGCATTTCCTGGGAATCGAACCCATAACCTTGGAGTTGCATACTCATTCACATGCTTTATTGAAAAGTTCATCTGAAAATTAAAAAAAAACCTGAAAACGTACTCACCCTTAGACCATCCAAGATGTAGATGAGTTTGTTTCTTCATCAGATTTGGAGAAATGTAGCACTTCATCACTTGATCAGCAATGGATGCTCTGCAGTGAATGGGTGCCGTCAGAATGAGAGTTCAAACATCTGATAAAAACATCACAATAATCCACAAGTAATCCACAGCACTCCAGTCCATCAGTTAAAATCTGGAGAAGACAAAAGCTGAAACAACTCCATCATTAAGAAGTTTTTAACTTCAAACCTTTGCTAAAATACGAGTCTCTAATCCATAATAACGCTTCGAACAGTGAAAAAGTGGTCTGGTCTGAATCAGGAGAGAAATCTGCTCAGATCAAGCTCCGTTTACAAGCCAAAACAGCTCTAAACAAATATGTGGCTGGATTTTGATGAGAGAGACAACAGGAGATGGACTTTTTCACTGGATGAAGCATTATTATGGATTATGGACTCGTATTTTAGCAAGAAGCAATGGTTTGAAGTTAAAAACGTACTAAAAACGTACAAACACGCAGCTTTTGGTTTCACAAGATGTTAATTGATGGACTGGAGCGGTGTGGATTATTGTGATGTTTTTATCAGCTGTTTGGACTCTCATTCTGACGGCACCCATTCACTGCAGAGCATTCATTGGTGAGCAAGTGATGCAATGCTACATTTCTAAACAGCTGTTCCCATGAAGAAACAAAATCATCTACATGGCCTGCGGGTGAGTACAATTTCAGCAAATCTTCCTCTAACCCCTTAAAATGAAGCACTGGGAATGAACCCATTAAATGATTGAGACTGAAGGACTGCATGATTGAAAGAGTGGATGATGTGCTGTAAACATATTGCCATTTTGTAAACATGT